TAGAAAAAAAAAACAATGGGTGGTCCAGGGGCGGACTGACAACTCATGGGGCCCCCGGGCAATAGGGGATCATGGGGCCCCTGTGTCCTTGCCCAAACTCAAAAAAGCCTATGAAAAAGGTACCAGGAGCATCTCATGGGGCCCCCTACTGACCCCGGCCCTCGGGCAGTCCCTGAGTTTCCAAATGGTCAATCTGCCCCTGGGGTGGTCCAATATCACCAAAAGAAAGCTCTATTTATGTGAAAAAATGTATGAAAATTGAATTTGCTTACAGTGTTGCATGACCACACAATTGCAAGTTAAAGTAGTGCAGTGCTGAATAAAAGGGAGTAAAACTTTCCAGGGCTCAAGTGGTTAAATATTTTTTCTGTTTGTGTGCAAAAGGGGTAAAGTGGTTAGCACTTCTGCCATGCAGCACATGGGTCACTGGTTCTAGCCCCAACTACAGCGTTACCTGGATGGAGGTTGCATGTTCTTTGGGTTTCCTCCCAAATTCCATAGTCACATGGGTAGTTTTATTAGCCTCTGTGTAAACTGGCCCTAGTATGTGTATGTATGCATGTGAGGTAGGGAACTTAGATCGTAAGCTCCTCGAGGGCAGGGACTGCTATGAATGTGCAATATTTATGCAAAGTGCTGCGTAAATATTTGGCACTTTCTAAATACCTGTAATAAATAATAAAAGGATCTTGCCATTACAAATGAATCCAAACAAAGCAAACATGTCAACCTTTGCAGAATATTCTACACCCATTACTTCTCATGGTGAAGCGTTCAAGACGCAGCCTTTCAGGAGGAGGAGCCACTCCTCTCCCCCGTACAAAAGAAAACAGCAAAGCTTGAAAGCTGCTTTGTGTGCACTGAAGGAAAATATCACAGTCAATTCAAACACACCTCAGACAGGAGAATTTGACCTATTTATAGAGACTCTGCAAGGGTTAAAATAAAAATGCACCAAAAAGCAAGAATTTTGCATCATTCGATGTCTAAAATCTACAGCTAGAAAAATAAATGGTTAAGAAAGCTATAATGTAATGCCATGCTGCTCCTACAAAGCCTCATGCAACTTAATAGCTCAACAGGACAGAAATCCATGAATAACTGTGTACTTTGCCCCCCAACCCTTTGCTTTTGTGAGGTAATCATTCTCTCATTTTATACCGGCTGGTGTAACTTCCTGTTTGTGGCCAGCAGCGATGCTTCTGCTGAATGCTGATCAGAAAGGACATCTTGTCAAGCATGTGCTGAGCAGCAGCTCACAGCCCCCGCTGCTTCCTGTGTTCGGCAGAGCCAATTGCCAGCAGAGGACATAAAGTAGGCACATAATGCAGTAGATCTAAAAAAGCTGCAGTGATAGATAATGCCTTGGGAAAAGGAACAGAGAATAAACACTACATAAAAGAGCCTGTTCGTCAAGCAGCCCCTACAAAAGAAGGAAAGTGCCAGGTCTTGTTTTAGAATGCACAAATTTAGCTGCTGGTATATACTTTACAGCAGTTCTTTATGTCATTTACTTTATTTTTAGGCAAGCAGAGTTTTGCTGCCCCTTTCTGCAGGGCGTTGTGGCAACCTATATTTTGTAGGATACCATGGCAGTGGGAACAATTTTCTGAGAAGTCTAGTACTTCAGCTAGCACTGGTATCTGAAATGAACACATCCAAAGAGCAGAACAAGAGATATATTTATATATATTTATTAATGTTGCAAATCTACAAAAGTAAAAAAAAAAAAAAGAATACGCACAAGAGACATTACTAACTTTCAATGAAATGTGTCCCTTATTTTGCTGTGTTCCTAATTTAACAGAAATCTTCCTCCATCTAAGTCCTCCCACCCTCACCACCTCCTGGTGCTGTAGGGGTTAAAAGAACTAAGGGAGCCATCACAGGTGCTCAAGAGTGCCCAACTATGCTTGCCCTTTCCGTCCCGCTCCTCCATTCACAGAAGTCGTACTATGGATTTTTTTTCATTTGAACCTAATCTATAAATGGAGGGACTTCCCTTTCAATCATCCACCCAGTCTCCATTCATCTTGTTTTCAGTAATAGAAACTATAGTACCAGATTCTATGAATGGAAAAACTTGAGGGAAAGAGCGGGTATAGTCAGGTACTCTTGATAAGTTCCTGTGACAGATCCCTTGGTTCTATTGACCCCCGCTGTAACAGAAGATTACAGCAAGGGTGGGGGCATCAGAGGAGGAGAATATCTGCTATACAAGGAAAAAGCAGCACAAGGCACACATCTCACTGTAGGTAAGTAATGTCCATTGTGCTTTTTCTTCAATTTATTTATTTTTTTAAACTAAAAGGCTTTACACAAATTAACACAAACTACATCAACAGCAGTTCTTCCTCAAAATACTGACGATTATGTTATATAGTATATATTCTACTAAGGAAGCAGCACTGCACCACAATATACTGTATGTTGGGCCAGCTCTGGCCTTCACCTCCTTCATTTATAGGTATACTTTTTGCATGATTCTTTTATTGGGGGGGGAGGGGCTATCACCTCTTCCAATGCTTTAAGTTTGGGCTGGTACTGCCATTATTACACATATGATATAAATCATGTATTTTGTAAGGCAATTCTGTATGCATTATATTACTTTACATTGCCTAGATTTATAGAGCTGGATATTCTGACTTCACTCTGTTACAATATAGACACAGTATATGAGTAACTTACATTCAGGTCTGCAAGTATATGTTATCCCTTTTGTGATTTCCTCACTTGTCTTCAGACTGTGTGCTACATAACATCATCTCAAGTATTTTGGGGAAAAGTTGCTGTTGGAGTATTTGTTCTTTGTTGCTTTCATGGTTTGGGGTTACTTTGTATGTTTTCCATACATCCAAGGCATTAAAAAACAACAACGTATTTCTAGTGGTGCAGCTAAATTTGTAAGGGTCTCTCGGTTCTTTGGTAATGATACTTCATTGCTTTGGGCCAAGCCTACACTTCCAGTGGTGTACCAGTGGTAATTCCTTCTGGTATTAAACTCATCACATTATTAGCAGATACAAGCTGGATTCATAGTGTGACATGCTCACAGACTATTTTCATAACTTGAGAAAATTTTTAAACACTTTTTCTAAATCACAAAATGCTATCCTATGCAAAACTAGAGGAGGTTCCTTGCAGGATAAGGCTGTCAGTCTAGAAACTTGTCTCAGAGGTGATGTCTACAGAATGTCTCTAATGAGTTCCAATGGCGGTTTCTGGAGCACAGAGAGAACCAGATTCACAAAGTCACAGGAACATCCCTGTACAAACGTCTAAATCAATGAGTGAGACATCAAGGGTCTCTGAAACAGAAAAAAAAGGGCAGAAGTCTAATCTTTTATTAATGTTGACAGTCAAATATGGGTTCAGACCCAGCTGCAGGAAACAGGATTTGTCTGACAAAGAAACTCTGAGAATCACACCAAATGATGTATGCCTTCCACATCCAATGATAGACCTTACAAGATGTAAACTTCCTGACTTTCTAAGCAGGAAAGCAAATCAGTACTTGGGACAGAAGATCCTGACAAATCAGCAGAACCTGAAAGTTAGAAGATTCACATCTGACACCCACCACCTGCAAAACATTAGGTGTACAGACCACTCCCCTGGGTCCAGGCCGGTTGTAGTTTCTCTATGACTTAAATATACACAGTGGGCAAAGCTGGAACATGACATTTTCTGGAAAGAATCCAATCTATTTCTTGTACCACGGAAAAACACATGGATTCTCCCTGATGACTGAGCATGCCACTGCCATTGTGTTGTGCGATGGAATCTGGTTTGGATGATCCTTCAGCAAAACTGTCCAAGGCTTCATCTTCTAAAGTTACAGGATATTCATTGGGAATCAAGACTCCTCTGACTGAATCCTCCACAGCCTGACAAGGTAGTGTCCATGCTGAGAATCCTACAAAATACAGGAAGGGGAGATTTGCCAGATTCTAAAGCAAAATTCCTGAGCCACCAGGCCAGGGACAACCTGGACCTAGGTGACAGATGAATCGGTGTGTCCAGAGACTGAATTGACCGAGATCTGGATTGAAACTGGGCAAATGGGACAGCCTCCAAAGATGCCATCATCAGACCCAGAACTATCATGCAAAGGCAGAGAGTGGGATGGCTCCTGGACTGGAGATTTCAAATCTGAGACCAGAGTGTCTGAAGTTTCTTCATTGGAAAGAACACTCTGGCTTGAAATGAACTGTGTCCAGGACTAGTCCCAGATACACCAAATCATAAGACGGTTCCAAAGACCATTTCTGCAGGTTCAAGAGCCATCCAAATTCATTCTAACGCCTAGATGGTCAACATCACATTGTCCAGCAGAGCCCACACCAATCCTCAATAAGTAGTTGTGTAAGTATCCCACAATGGAAATGCCATGAGAGGGCAGCAGGGCTAGTACTAGGGGTTTCCTCTGCTGAGGAAGATGGATGCTGTTGCCACCATCCTTCATGATGTTGTTGCCACCCATCCGTCATGATGTTGTCCTTAAGGTGGTTTGAAGAGACACTGTCCATTGAAGGACATGCGGATCAAAGGTTTTTTACATGTGTTCCACAGTCCAGACTGTGGAGTTACAGGCCTGACAATGGGACTACAATAAGAGAACTGCCAAGGTCAACAGGAAAGTACTTGAAAACAAAGAAGACATTACATATAGCAGATTGATAAGGAGGCATATTCTTTATTTAAGACATTTTTACTTAGCCTTGAGTGCCACTTTAATACTTTCTATTTAAAATATCTTGTTCATCTCCCTATATCTACAATAAAATGGAATTTTGTTGCATTTGTTTTTTGTTTTTTTTATTGCCACCACATACTGTAAATTGACTTTTTTTTCTCAGCTAATGTTACCTATTGTGCTATCTTAGTTTACTACTTTTCTGATCTATTTATAAATATATGTGCTCATACATTCTTCAGATACTTGTGGCCCTTATACAGTTGTACATCCATCTTCCAGAAGAAAGAACCAGCCTTACCTCTTCTAAACGTCGTCTTTGTTCTTTCTGCTCTTCAATACGTTTCTGCCTCTCAGCCAGAAGTTGTCTTTTGTGCTCCTCATTTTCACGTTGCTGTTGTTCCAGTTGCTGACGTCTAAGGGCCTCTGAACGCTCCTTGTTAGCCAACTGCAGCCTCAAGAAATCCCGTCTTAACGTTGACTCTCCGGGTAGATTTAAAATCGAGCTGAGCACATAGGAAACATAAGCAATCCTCAATGAAATTGTTTTATGAGTAACATTTTCTGCAGATATCATTTTAAGCTGACCTGTAGCTCATCAAAAGCACTGAAATTATATGTTTTATATTTCTGTAAAAATATATTTTTATGCTCCTGATAGACAGGATTTTTATTCTTATACTTTCTGCATCACAAAATTCTTTTGTTACACTGTGCCATTATTTCTGGTGGTTATTTCAAAATGGTAAGTAACATTGACAAAAAAATAGTGGTGTTGTAGGTTTAATTTGAGAAAGAACAATGTTATAGTTGAAATTTTAAAAGCTGGAAAAAAACACTGGGTAGGTGTAAACGTTTGATAACACAATGATGTATTGAAACTAGCGCAAATAACATGGTTCCAGGGTAGAGCTTATATTTCCTTCTCTAACATGCACAGGGAAAGAAAAAAAACAAGGAGTCCACTATGAGTAACAACACTGCATTTACATCAATATTTATAAATTAGCAATTCAAATAATTAATTAGCCATTGTTTTGCAGCACCGGTCTTCAAGGTACACCAGCACTGCATATCTCCTTATATGTTTCAATTATAATAAGTGAAAAACTTGTTCACACAGGGCATATCAATGATTGTGCCTGTGCGAAGCTGTGTTTACCTGTACAGGGATGCATAGGTGTTCTGTGCATCTCCATGCAGGCAGTCCCATTGTTGTTAACTGGAACACAGCCACTACAAAGACACAGCTGCTGCTCCCAATTCAACATCTATGTGTGTGCAGGTGCATGCCACCAAACTCACACAGTGTGCATCCAGAGCAATGCACCTATACTTGCATGGATATCAAATTGGGAGCAGTGGCTATATCCGTGAAGCTGCTGTGTCCCAACTGATATCAGTGGGACTGCCTGCATGGAACACAGGTTCATCCCCGGCAGGTAAACATAACCTCTCATGGACTTATGCATTGATATTCTCCATGTTATCGAGGTTTAACAGTCCATCCCTGAAGCCTGCTGCCTGGGTATGAAGATCTAATGCTGCTGCTGGAGCTGAAATCCATCATAACTTTAAGATATATAAGAACATATGTTTTTTTTTTTAGGCACCATCAACTTAGCTTAGTTTTATATCAGACTTCAGTTGAGCTTTAATATACTATTAGTTGTCCCAAAATGCCTGGAGATGATACAGTGAGGAAAATAATTATTTGATCCCCTGCAGATTTTGTAAGTTTTCCCACTTACAAAGAAATTAAGAGTCTATAATCTTTATCATATGTGTATTTTAAATGATCAAGACAGAATATCAACCAAAAATCCAGAAAAAACACGATACAAATGTTATAAATTGAGTTGCAGTTCAGTCAGTAAAATAAGTATTTGATCCCCAAGCAAAACATGACTTAGTACTTGGTGGAGAAACCCTTGCTGGCAAGCACAGAGGTAAGCTGTTTCTTGCAGGTGCTTACCAGGTTTGCGCACATCTCAGGAGGAAACTTGGGCCACTCTTCTTTACACCTCTTCTCTAAATCCTTAGGATTTTTTGGCTGTCGCTTGGCAACTCAAAGTTTCAGCTCCCTCTATGAATTTTCTATAGGATTAAGGTCTGAAGACTGGCTAGGCCACTCCATGACCATAATAGTCTTCTTCTTGAGTCACTACTTTGTTGGCTTGGCAGTATGTTTTGGGTCATTGTCATGCTGGAAGACCCATTCACGACCCATCTTCAGTGTTCTGGCTGAGGGAAGAAGGTTCTCATCCAAGATTTTACAATACATAGCCCCCCAACCATTGGCCCCTCAATGCGGCAAAGTCGGCCTGTACCTTTAGCAGAGAAACAGTGACAAAGCATAATGTTTCTACCTCCATGCTTGACTGTAGGAGTGATGTTCTTGGGGTCATAGTCAGCATTTTTCTTCCTCCGAACTTGGCGAGTCGAGTTAGTGCCAAAGAGCTCAATTTTGGTCTCATCTGACCGCAACACTTTCTTCCTATCCTTCTCTGAATCATTTAAATGTTCATTGGCAAACTTCAGACTGGCCTGTACATGTTTCTTCTTGAATAAGGGGAATTTTGAGTGCACTGCAGGATTTCAATCCATGGTGGTGTATTGTGTTACCAATGGTTTGTTTGGTGACTGTGATCCCAACTGCCTTGCGATCATTCACAAGCTCCTCTCGTGTAGTTTTGGGCTGATCCCTCATTTTTCTCGTGACCATCCTTACCCCATGAAGCGAAATCTTCCATGGACCTCCAGACCGAGGGCGTTTGATGGTTATTTTGTATTTCTTCCATTTGCGAATAATCCCTCCAACAGTTGTCACCAAGCTTCTTGCTGATGGTCTTGTAGCCTTTTCCAGCCATGTGCAGGTCTACAATATTGTCCCTGATGTCCTTAGACAGCTCTTTGGTATTGCCCATGGTGGGCAGGTTTAAATAAAAGGAAGAGATTTTGCGGACAGGTGTAGTTTATACACTGTGGGAACTCGCTTCAAAGTGGTAGAGCTTTTCATTTAAAGCACACAGCGACTCGCTTCTTTAAGGGCCTTTTTGCCCAATTTTATTTACAGAAGATGTTCCACAAACATAAAGCTTCCCACGCAGGGGTATCCACCATCAAACAAAACAACGGTTCAGCCTCCTGGCTTATACTCAGCTTGCTGTCTGTCTCCTGCAGACTTCTTCAACAATTATGGCCCGTGCACACAGCTGCCCACTAGCACACCGCTAGTCTCTAGCAGCCCCTTGCTGCTTTTGGCTTCCACCTCTCCTAGGTGAAGCCCCCACCTGACTTCCAGGCAGTGACCTCCTGTCTTCCAAGTGGAGCCCTCCTGACTCCTATCTGCCGGGGTGGAGCCCTCCTGACTCCTATCTGCCGGGGTGGAGCCCAAAACTCTGGTCCTGACTCTATCTAAAGGCCTGCACACACCTGTGCAATCAGTCTCCTGGCCTATTCCAACACCTGGTCCCAGGATTGGAGATTTCATCCCTCCCATCTCTTTGAAATCTCCAGGCTCCAGATCCCAAAACAGACCTTACAAACAAAGGAAGAAAGTGAAAAGCCACTTTCCTCCGTATATCAAACCTTTACCCTGGAGCCCCTCAACCTGCCTTGTTGAGAATCCAGGGTGACAGAACGCCACACTGTCACATATCCCCCCCCCCCCCCCCCTTGTTTTGACCCCGTAGGGGGCAGAACACACACGACTTACAGCTTCTGGCACCTCTGTGCCAGCTTTCACTTACAGGGGTCCAATCTGGTCTGACTATACCTTTCATAAAGGGGAACTCTACCCAATGATTCCTTTGGTGTCTCTCCCCAAGCCTCATTGTCACTCTGCTGTGGGCTCTACTCAGACCTTGCCTACTCTTTTTCCGGGTGCACTTCCATAAACACTTTCTCTCTTGAAATCCTAATGGGGTCCCCCTGGCCTTTCTATCGACCTTTCTGCCCCTTTGCTTCAGGTGCTCAGGTTTCCTAATACCTCTCTCAGTATTCCTGTCCCAAGGCTGTAGGGGAACTATTTCTACTGTATTTGTACCAGGACCACCCCCCTGATTTCTTGTACTTTTAGCTATCAAACCTGCATGACTCATCACCACAGCATTCAGTTTACCACGAACAGTTATATTCCAGTCAATATTACACCTTTCAATATCTTTTCCAGCATTTGTTAGGACAGTGTCTGCAGAGGGCACACACACCATAGGGCAGCCATCACCCACGTGAACCTCACAAAATGCCACTTCACCTGGTGACATGCACTCTGCAGGCGGCTGTCCAACCATTTTAACTTTTCCTACACCACTTGGATCTGTATCCAAACCCGGTACAGATGAGCTCTCTTTTGATCCATTTTGCCAGTTTTCACATACCATTTCTCCCTGTATTTCAGGTGTCTTATCAGAACTGCTACATAAACCTCTTTTTGGCCCAATGACCCTGATTTCTTTATGCACATTCGTTTGAGCCCTGGTCAGGATCTCTGCTGTTCTCTGGTCCATGCTCGGTCCTTCCATCTCGTGTGGTTTGTCCAATGGTGCAGTAAACACGCCCTTAACTGACAACTGACCAGCACCATCCTGGACCATAGCAGCAGAAATGCTTCCCACCTGGCTGTTAGGAGGTGGAACCTTTTTTGACTCATTTTCCATTTCTCCAAAACATTTCTCATATATCACATTTACAGGTAATCCAGCAGCATACCCTGATACAACTTTTAACACCATCAACAAATTCAGAAATAAACCACTTTGTTTCCCTTTGATCTGTACAGCCAGTCATTTGGTGCTCCACACCTAGTGGTACTCCGCAGTACCAGACCATCTGACTGTGGAGGAGACACCTCAATATACATTGGTTGTACATTCCAAAGTTCAAGCATCTCCTTTAATACTTTGGTTACAACCCAACCACTTGACTCTAAACCTAAGACCTTCCTGACCATATTTAGGACACTGGGAACGCTGAGAGACTCACCTGCTGAGACTTGAGAAGTTGAAATTTTTAAAGGGACCTCCTCCAAGCTGGAGATAACCACAGCCTGGTGCTCCACCAGAGCACTGCCATGTGCTGGGCTCACTCTCAACCTCTCAGACTCAGTATCCACAAGCTGCCCCTGATCATTCCCAGTGACAACATCATTTTGACACTCCATGCCAACATCACTTTTGTGGGTCACAGACAAAGTCTCTGCTGTATACACACCCTTATCTATAGGCCGTTCTATAGATCCTCCTGCTGGCACAGCAGAAACAGTGTCCACCTTATTTTTTTTGCATAAAAACCTCATCTATCAACGAGATAGCCTTTTACTCCAACTATCCCAATCCATTGTATATGTGCTCAATTCGTCCGTGCTCCTCAGCACTGATCCATCTGCCCAAGGAGACACATAAGAATAGACGGGCTTAGTTGCAGATCCATTGCACAAATCACTCTGGCTCATATCAGACTTGGGTAACACCTGTTTTCCCACTGCAGGTTGCAATACCTCACATCCACCACTTTGCTCTGGTGGTGCTTCCTGAATTACCCACACATTTGCATTTTTGCCAGGCTGCATTAACCCGCTGTTCACCTGAACACTTTCCGTATTGTTAGACTGCACCAACACACTCCTATGACAAGGTGCAGTTCCACTCTGCTCCACCAGAGTGACATCGCAGTTGTCCAGGGCAACCTCCGGCTCCAATACACGGAGACCCCTGGAGATGTCTAAGGACACCTGTGCTGTCTTACCACCAGTTGCTACGGGAAATGACCCATCTTTAATTACAGCTTTTGCATTGCAAAAGCTCAGGGTTTTCCCAACAGCAGTACATTTCCCATCAACAACATTATCAGCATTTGTAGCTCTTGTGGGCTGTACTAGCCCACTACCAACCTGTGACTGGCACACATTAGTGACATCACTTGCTTTTTGAGAACCATGCACAGGTTTTACTCTAATTCCTACCTCCCCACTGTACAAGGCACTGCACAGGGAAAAGTCACTCTCTAAAGCACATTCAGTGGCCCAACTAACTGGGGTCACTCCTATATCAGAATGGACAGTCTCATAACCAGTCCTTCTCAACATGACAGTCCCAGCCATGGTTTTATCACACACAGTCTTACCCACCACAGTAGTAGGTGTCACCATCTTCATTTGAGTGCGTTGTCTCATAAACGCATCCTCAACTGCACTTTCCTTGGCAACTTTTCCCTTGCCCCAAGGTGAAGTAACAGACGCCATCATAGGCTCCATGGACTCTCTGGCACCCCCTGCAGGCCCAACAAGAACTTCCTCCCTGTTGCCAGAGGTGGGTTGCCGACATTTTAAAACAAGACTCTGGACTTGCAGTTGTAGACATTTGCGCAGTATCAGCGGTATTCCAGAGTCTGGGACAGTAAAAGATCCCATGCCCCCACTGACCACATTCCACGCAGGGTATATTTCTACATTTCTCTTTATTGGGATACTGAGCCACATCTCCAGTGCAGCTCCTCCTTCCAGGCACTATTTTTTCTCCGGTCGCCATGGGAGATTGCACTCTCCAAGCAGAACTTCGCTGGCTAACACGCTGTATTGGCTCCTCTTGATGCCACTTGCCATGATCCTTGTACGACATAGCCCCCCGTACACAGACAGCCCGACTGGCCTCCTCTGTGTTGCTGTGAGCCTTCACTCTTGGTCCTGGCCTCTGGTCAGCCCCTCTTCTTGCACATAGCATAGGCTTCTCTCTGCTGGACCAACTCTCAAGCCGTGACACATTCACATTTTTCACAACAGCTACTGGTTTAACTGCAGCAGCGTTGCCATGGGTGACAACACCCCTCTCCCAGGTACAGACATCCTGCAGCTCTCTCCTTGCACTAAAGGTTGGCTTGCTTTCCTCTTTAGGTTGGTTCAATGCTGCCAGGTGCCGCTTGCACCAGTCCACAGCAGACTCACCCACATCTAAATTTCCCGGCTTGGCTGGGGCATGCGGTATATAACCCCCTAGCCACAGGGCTCTATCTCTCGCTTCAGCAAACATTGCCTCCTTTTTCTGTTTTGACCCCCATCTTTGCAGTCATGCACACAGCAGTGTGTTAGACAGTTCAGCAACACCATGGAACACTGTCTCTTTAAGGCAAAGTCCTTTTCTCTAGCAGGTTCTCCTCACCTGCACACACAGATAGTGCAGACTTATGCACCAAACAGTTCATATAACTGATGAACTTACTTCAATCGCTGGGATCTCCAATTCTGCCCGCATCCTCCACCATATGTGGGAACTCGCTTCAAAGTGGTAGAGCTTTTCATTTAAAGCACACAGCGACTCGCTTCTTTAAGGGCCTTTTTGCCCAATTTTATTTACAGAAAATGTTCCACAAACATAAAGCTTCCCACGCAGGGGTATCCACCATCAAACAAAACAACGGTTCAGCCTCCTGGCTTATACTCAGCTTGCTGTCTGTCTCCTGCAGACTTCTTCAACAATTATGGCCTGTGCACACAGCTGCCCACTAGCACACCGCTAGTCTCTAGCAGCCCCTTGCTGCTTTTGGCTTCCACCTCTCCTAGGTGAAGCCCACCTGACTTCCAGGCAGTGACCTCCTGTCTTCCAAGTGGAGCCCTCCTGACTCCTATCCTATCTGCCGGGGGGAGCCCTCCTGACTCCTATCTGCCGGGGTGGAGCCCAAAACTCTGGTCCTGACTCTATCTAAAGGCCTGCACACACCTGTGCAATCAGTCTCCTGGCCTATTCCAACACCTGGTCCCAGGATTGGAGATTTCATCCCTCCCAGATCTCTTTGAAATCTCCAGGCTCCAGATCCCAAACAGACCTTACAAACAAAGGAAGAAAGTGAAAAGCCACTTTCCTCCGTATCAAACCTTTACCCTGGAGCCCCTCAACCTGCCTTGTTGAGAATCCAGGGTGACAGATCGCCACACTGTCACAACACATAACAAGTTTTTGTTAGGAGCAGAATTATTGCTGGTTAGTAGGGGATCAAATACTTATTTTACTCACTGAATGGCAACTCAATTTATAACATTTGTATCGTGTTTTTTTCTGGATTTTAGGTTGATATTATGTCTCTATCATTTAAAAAACATCTATGATAAAATCTATAGACACTTCATTACCTTGTAAGTGGGCAAATTTACAAAATCTGCAGGGGATCAAATACAGTCAGGTCCATAAATATTGGGACAACAACACAATTCTAACATTTTTGGCTCTATACACCACCACAATGGATTTGAAATGAAACAAACAAGATGTGCTTTAACTGCAGACTGACAGCTTTAATGTGAGGGTATTTACATCCAAATCAGGTGAACGGTGTAGGAATTACAACAGTTTGCATATGTGCAATGTGCAATGCACATTGGCAACAATTATCATAGCTCTGTATGACATGAATTTTATTAAAGATTAAAGTACATATCAGTATTGATGTACACAGGGCATATATTTCTTACTTTCAATAAACAAAATCATTTCTGCACCTATTTACCTTGGCTCCCCTGAATCATTATCTTCCTCTTCTTCTTCACTTCCACTATATTCATACTCGGTTTCATCTGGAAAGAATATAGAAAACAATTGATTATTTATGTATGAATTAAAATATATGAATCTGTGATTTGTTTGATAAATATGTGCAGGTTTTGGCCAAAAAAACATGTGGACTGCAAATTTGAACAAAAAAAATGAATTAGCACACATTGCTTATGAATAAATCACTTGCCATACGCATTTCCTTACCATCAATTTTCCACTTTCATCAGGCAAAATGAAAGCCTGATATTACATTATTGATTACACATGTTAAAACTTAATTCACAACTTGTGGCTTTGACTAATCCTATTACCTTTCTCTCCACGTTTTTTCTTAGTTCGATCAATGTGGTCCTTCAGCTGAATTCGAACCTGTCTTTCATTTGGCTGGTCTCTGATGAATGGATGCTTCATAAGCTGCTCTGTTGTGGGTCTTTGGCTGTGGTTCTTCACTAGGCAGCTTTCGATGAATGACTGAAACTTTTTGGACCTAAGTGGAAAACATTTGATCATAATATATGCATTCAAATGCAAACATAAAACATGCAATGCTTTGAGGCATGGCTATCGAACACTGAGTAATGAATCTAAACAGGTTAAACAAATATTTTCTAACTACAAGAGAAGTGTGTTTTCTTACTTTAATCATGGGGTGCTTTGTGTATTGTTTTCAGGTCTGTGCAGTAATGCAATATGACAAACCCCTGAATTTTGTCTGTGTGGGAGTCTCCTGTAATAATGATTGATCACTGCTTAAATTGTGTAGAGTGGCTGGTCTTGTATCCGCCCCCTCCTCTTGTTTTCTGCAGATAGCCCATACTGGGTAGGCCTAATGGGTCCCTCCCACAGCTCTACTCTCTTCACTGATTATGTGCAACAAAGAGATTATGACACCATCAATTTTACAAGGCAAGATCTGGGTTTGCTGGGGCATCTGGTGCACACAAAGTGGATTTCTATTCTGGGTGGCTATTGAGAAATATATTTAAATGAAAGTTTTTGTGCCTCGAGATTAGTTTTAAAGCTCTAAAGCCCTGTTACCTTTTGAAACAGAGATAACTATTGACCTAGGAAGATATATATATACATATATATATATACAGTGGGGCAAAAAAGTATTTAGTCAGCCACCAATTGTGCAAGTTCTCCCACTTAAAAAGATGAGAGAGGCCTGTAATTGGCATTATAGGTAGACCTCAACTATGAGAGACAAAATGAGAAAAACAAATCCAGACAATCACATTGGCTGATTTGGAAAGAATTTATTTGCAAATTATGGTGGAAAATAAGTATTTGGTCAATATCAAAAGTTCATCTCAATACTTTGTTATATATCCTTTGTTGGCAATGACAGAGGTCAAACGTTTCCTGTAAGTCTTCACAAGATTGGCACACACTGTTGCTGGTATGTTGGCCCATTCCTCCATGCAGATCTCCTCTAGAGCAGTGATGTTTTGGGGCTGTCGCTGGGCAACACGGACTTTCAACTCCCTCCAAAGTTTTTCTATGGGGTTGAGATCTGGAGACTGGCTAGGCCACTCCAGGACCTTGAAATGCTTCTTAAGAAGCCACTCCTTCGTTGCTCGGGTGGTATGTTTGGGGTCATTGTCATGTTGGAAGACCCAGCCACGTTTCATCTTCAATGCCCTTGCTGATGGAAGGAGGTTTGCACTCAAAACCTCACGATACCTGGCCCCATTCATTCTGTCCTGTATATGGATTAGTCGTCCTGGTCCCTTTGCGGAGAAACAGTCCCAAAGCATGATGTTGCCACCCCCATGCTTCACAGTAGGTATGGTGTTCTTTGGATGCAACTCAGCATTCTCTCTCCTCCAAACACGACGAGTTGTGTTTCTACCAAACAGTTCTATTTTGGTTTCATCTGACCATATGACATTCTCCCAATCCTCTTCTGGATCATCCAAATGCTCTCTAGCAAACTTCAGACGGGCCCGAACATGTAGTGGCTTAAGCAGGGGGACACGTCTGGCACTGCAGGATCTGAGTCCCTGGTGGCGTAGTGTGTTACTGATGGTAGCCTTTGTTACGTTGGTCCCAGCTCTCTGCAGGTCATTCACTAGGTCCCCCCATGTGGTCCTGGGATTTTTGCTCACCGTTCTTGTGATCATTTTGACCCCACGGGGTGAGATCTTGCGTGGAGCCCCAGATCGAGGGAGATTAACAGTGGTCTTGTATGTCTTCCATTTTCTAATTATTGCTCCCACAGTTGATTTGTTCACACCAAGCTGCTTGCCTATTGCAGATTCAGTCTTCCCAGCCTGGTGCAGGTCTACAATTTTGTTTCTGGTGTCCTTCGACAGCTCTTTGGTCTTCACCATAGTGGAGTTTGGAGTGTGACTGTTGAGGTTGTGGACAGGTGTCTTTTATACTGATAACAAGTTCAAACAGGTGCCATTGATACAGGTAATGAGTGCAGGACAGAGGAGTCTGTTAAAGAAGAAGGTACAGGTCTGTGAGAGCCAGAAATCTTGCTTGTTTGTAGGTGACCAAATACTTATTTTCCACCATAATTTGCAAATAAATTCTTTCCAAATCAGCCAATGTGATTGTCTGGATTTTATTTCTCATTTTGTCTCTCATAGTTGAGGTCTACCTATGATGCCAATTACAGGCCTCTCTCATCTTTTTAAGTGGGAGAACTTGCACAATTGATGGCTGACTAAATACTTTTTAGCCCCACTGTATATATATATATATATATATATTCTTGATCATTACATCCTAGAATCTGTAAGCAAATCAGACATCAGATATACCTTTTTTAACATGAAGTGAGTAAATGCTTAGTAATGTGTGGCATTTAAAGGGATCACAATACTTCCTCTGACAATGCCTGTGCAGAACTTAGCAGTGTTTATGTATGACAACAATCAGCCTACCAACTTGTGATTTGCCACAAAAGTTAAAAATATTGCTATCTTGGTGATCACTGAGGGGAATGGAGACTAAAGAAAGACTTGATCTTGCCCGTAGCAGACTGTTTACATCATCTCAAACTAGGCAAATTCACCTCCTTGGAGCTTAAAGTAGAAGTATAGGCAACACTTTTTTTTTCATTTTGGTGAGAGTAAGGGAGGATTATAACCCCTGTCAATTTATTTTTTGTCATCTGTGTTCCATTGGGGAGATTTCCATTTACTTCCTGTCCCATAGCCAAAACAGGAAGTGAGAAAATCTCTGCAAATTAAGAGAATTTTTTGGGGACCCCCAGGTCACCAGAACTAGTGTCCCCATTGGAAACTTTCCCCCCTATTACTTTTTTGAAGACAACCCAAAATGTGGGCTTTTACTTTCACTCTCTATGATAATGGTAAACAGGACAAATAGAAAGGGAGGATCTCCCTAACGGGGGCACAGACTGCCATAAAAGCCTAACAGGTGTTCTAATTAGAGATGAGCGAATTATTCAAAAATTTGATTCGGCTGATTCGCCGAATTTGCGGGAGAAATTTGATTCGATGCGAATTTATTCGCTGCGAATTTAACTTATTAAAAGGGTTTCTAGGCTTCAGAGAGCCTTATATTAGTGCAGAACACTGTACCTTTAATTTAAATGCCCTTGGAGTCTGCTGGGGAAGAGAAATAATACTGTCAGTCAGTATGACATGCAGATGAGTGCCGTCGATCTTAGAATCACCGCACACTTCACTCATTTGGGCAGTCACGGGGCATGACGAAGAAGAAGAAGAAGAATGAAAAGAAGAATGAAAAGAAGAAGAAGAATGAAGAATGAAAAGAAGAAGAAGAATGAAAAGATGAAAAGAAGAAGAAGAAGAATGAAAAGAAGAAGAAGAAGAATGAAAAGAAGAATGAGAAGAAGAATGAAAAGAAGAATGAAAAGAAGAATGAAAAGAAGAATGAAAAGAAGAAGAAGAAGAATGAAAAGAAGAAGAAGAATGAAAAGAAGAATGAGAAGAATGAAAAGAAGAATGAAAAGAAGAATGAGAAGAATGAAAAAAGAAGAATGAAAAGAAGAAGAAGAAGAATGAAAAGAAGAAGAATGAAAAGAAGAATGAAAAGAAGAAGAAGAAGAATGAAAAGAAGAAGAATGAAAAGAAGAATGAAAAGAAGAAGAAGAAGAATGAAAAGAAGAAGAATGAAAAGAAGAAGAAGAAGAATGAAAAGAAGAAGAAGAAGAAGAAGAATGAAAAGAAGAAGAAGAAGAAGAATGAAAAGAAGAAGAAGAAGAATGAAAAGAAGAATGAAAAGAAGAAGAAGAAGAATGAAAAGAAGAAGAAGAAGAATGAAAAGAAGAATGAGAAGAAGAATGAAAAGAAGAATGAAAAGAAGAATGAGAAGAATGAACAGAAGAATGAAAAGAAGAAGAAGAAGAATGAAAAGAAGAAGAAGAAGAATGAAAAGAAGACTGAAAAGAAGAAGAAGAAGAATGAAAAGAAGAAGAAGAAGAATGAAAAGAAGAATGAAAAGAAGAAGAAGAATGAAAAGAAGAAGAAGAATAATGAAAAGAAGAAGAAGAATGAAAAGAAGAATGAATGAAAAGAGAAGAAGAAGAAGAATGAAAAGAAGAAGAAGAAGAATGAAAAGAAGAAGAAGAAGAATGAAAAGAAGAATTAAAAGAAGAAGAAGAAGAAGAATGAAAAGAAGAAGAAGAAGAATGAAAAGAAGAATGAAAAGAAGAAGAAGAAGAATGAAAAGAAGAAGAAGAATGAAAAGAAGAAGAAGAAGAATGAAAAGAAGAAGAAGAAGAATGAAAAGAAGAAGAAGAATGAAAAGAAGAATGAAAAGAAGAAGAAGAAGAATGAAAAGAAGAATGAAAAGAAGAAGAAGAAGAAGAATGAAAAGAAGAAGAAGAAGAATGAAAAGAAGAACGAAAAGAAGAAGAAGAAGAAGAATGAAAAGAAGAAGAAGAAGAATGAAAAGAAGAAGAAGAATGAAAAGAAAGAAAGAAGAAGAATGAAAAGAAGAATGAGAAGAAGAATGAAAAGAAGAATGAAAAGAAGAATGAAAAGAAGAAGAAGAATGAAAAGAAGAATGAGAAGAAGAATGAAAAGAAGAATGAAAAGAAGAATGAAAAGAAGAAGAAGAATGAAAAGAAGAATGAAAAGAAGAAGAAGAAGAATGAAAAAAGAAGAAGAATGAAAAGAAGAATGAGAAGAAGAATGAAAAGAAGAAGAATGAAAAGAAGAAGAATGAAAAGAAGAATGAAAAGAAGAATGAGAAGAATGAAAAGAAGAATGAAAAGAAGAAGAAGAAGAATGAAAAGAAGAAGAAGAAGAATGAAAAGAAGAAGAAGAATGAAAAGAAGAAGAATGAAAAGAAGAAGAAGAATGAAAAGAAGAAGAAGAAGAATGAAAAGAAGAATGAAAAGAAGAAGAAGAATGAAAAGAAGAAGAATGAAAAAGAAGAAGAAGAATGAAAAATGAAGAAGAAGAAGAAGAATGAAAAGAAGAAGAAGAATGAAAAGAAGAAGAATTCCAGTACAGCAAAAAGTGTATCTGCAGAGAGCTC